CGCTGCCCCGTGCGGGGTGTGCGCGCTGGAGCAGGTTGAGCAGAGGGAGGGCGGGGGGACCGCGGCGTCCCTAGGGATGCGGGGAAGGACGCTGCTGCGATGCGGCGTCCTGTTCCCCTAAGAACTCGCTGGGCTGCTCCCCTTTAGGCTCCCGAATAAGAACCTTATTTTCAGTGCAGCCCAGCTAGTCCTAGCCTCCGTCCTGAGCGGAGCTCTTAAAATCTAGCCAGTGCTGCATGTTGTACCAGCGCGGTATGTGTCTGCCATGGATCACATTGTGCATAAGTATATGGCAGTGACTTGCATATTGTGCATGCATGATATGCACAGCATATAAATATATTCATGCTTTTTATTAACTATTCAATATCTATTCCATATGCATGTTTCATTTAGGGAGTGTATGCCCACATATAATAACATGCAATACAATATGCTGTAAAAGAGCCAATTTCATGTTAGTGTATTGGTAAGTTACAGATTATCTCAGCACTACATGGCCCCAGTCTTTATGCATATGTTTAAGTCTATGCACATGAGTAATCTCCTACTGATAACTGTGATAATTCAAATAAGTAAAGTGATTAAGTATTTTGGGAGATCATAGTGTTTACTTTTGCACATATAACTTTATATGAATGTGAAATGCGCAGTGTTATGCATAATACTCTGTACCATATTTAATATTGCATATTAAATATAATTAGCACTATGTTATCTGAGTAATATATAATGGAGTTTTTACAAATAATAGGAAAAAACCATTTGAGATGTAAGAAACTATTTTTTAAAGTTTGAGAGTATGTTGTTTATGAAGTTAGTATCATGATGCCACAAAGCAACTATTTTTTAAAGTTTGAGAGTATGTAGTTTATGAAGTTAGTATCATGATGCCATTATCAAAGATGTGAATGACTTTTTTGCTTTTAGGCATAACTATGGCTTCTGCTGATTTTTTTTTCATTTTTGTTAAAATGTCTCTTGCAAAATCTTATGTGAGGTGAAGTCCATTTAAACTACACTGCACAACAGTGAGTTAGGGTGGCAGCTTCAGCTCTCTAATACTCACTTTTGGCAATAGATATGATACACAACAAAGTTTACTGAAAAACCATTTGGGTATTTGATGAAACAAGCAACATAGCAAGGAATCTGAAATTTATATGAAAGCTAACCTTAACTGAGCTACACCTTATAGTTTGATACATCTTGAACATTTCTGTTCCAAATTTGCTTCAGTGTATGAAGGATCATGCATGTATGGGAGATCATTTAGTAATCTTGATCTTGTAGAGGCTTAAGCACTGTGAGCCTGAACTTGCATAGCTGAAACCAGAGACAAAATTCTTACTGACTTTAGTAGGTGCAAAATTAGCCCTTGTTTCAAAATAAGTTTTAAGAATAATAACTCCTGAAATAACTATGTTGAAACAGTGTGTCACACTATAAATCCCCATTGACATATTGCAGATCTATATCGAAATAGCATGTCCACACTGATTGGAGCCTGAATCACATTTACGGTCCCCCAAGAAGCACTATGGGCAGGGCATCAGGACAGCTGTCACTTCCAGGAGCTTCTGCCTGAGGCTAGCTGATGCTTATGCTTAATGGAGATCCTCTTTACAGCTGTATCTCAGACCCTTCTCCATTACCTACCTCCTTGAGGGACAGCAAACTCACACTGCCTCCTCTGGTTGCCCTTGTGGATGCCACAGTACTTTCAGCATGGAGCCAGACCTGCTGCAAAACACTCACCAGCTCTTAGACTTGCTGCTGCAACCCTTGCCGCAGTTTATGCAGGCTGCCATCGTGGCACTGCTTGAGGACAACGACCAGCCTGGAATGGGGGGGCTGCCTTACCCAGGCCTGTGTGCTCCTCATGCCCCACATTCTC